CCAAGGCAAAAGATGAATCGTCTCTATGTAAGGAATAGAGTCCCTAGACCAGTGGTTCTCAACCTTCCTAATGCCGCGACCCTTTAATACAGTTCCTCATGTTGTGGTGACCCCCAACCATAAAATTATTTTCATTGCTACTTCATAACTGTAATGTTGCTCCTGTTATGAATCGTAATGCAAATATCTGATATGCAGGATGTGTTTTCATTGTGACAAATTGAACATAATTAAAGCATAGTGATTAATCACAAAAACAGTATGTGATTATATATGTTTTCCGATGGTCTTAGGCGACCCCTGTGAAAGGGTTGTTCGACCCCCAAAGGGGTCGCGACCCACAGGTTGAGAACCGCTGCCCTAGACTGACTAGACCTTTAACAAGCATTTCTGGAGTAACTGAAATCAAGTCTCACAAACAGGCATTTGCTACCTCTGGTTTCCTCGCTGGAAATGTAACAGAAGTAAAAAATTATTTTATTTATGACAATAAACTTAGCTCCCCATAAGCATTCACTATGACTGTGTTCAGAGAGCTATATTCAGTTATGGACCAATGTCGTATTCAGTTAGTGAGCTGTATTAAAAATCATTCCCCAATTACTAACCAAGTCAGAAACGCTTAGAAAATTCAGGAGGGTCCTTTGAAAAGCTCCTTTTGATATTCTGCCAAGGCGTTTGGAAGAGCACGCAGACACAATACAAAAATCTTTCTTTTCAATCCTGTGTTTCTTGGCATAATCTGAAATTAAAATGGTACTCACGCGATCAATACATCTATAGCAACTATTTGGAGAAAACTGGCAAAAAGATATTTTTCTTTTACTCCCTCTTATTTTAAAGGTATTTTTAGAAGCAAACAGGGCAACCTCATTTTTAGAGTTTGTCCAGAATGTCATGTATCTAGTCCCCAGAAGCAAGATTCATCCTGAGGAGGATCTAACTAAGCCTGAGTGAGTTTTCAAAGTAGCGCCCACATATACCGTGCGTGTTGAACAAATTCAGATTTATTGAAAGTAAACATTTACATTGGCTACAATGTTAGGACTATTACAAAGCTGGATAAAAGAGGCTTACGTAGCAATAGAAAGCAAGTGCAATAAAAAGTGAATAGAGAAAATATTTGGCCTTAGTGATCTCTTGGCAGTATTTACATTATGTACATATTGTTAAATATTTATAATAACTCTAAGGCACCAAAGGCTACAGAGCAGGTTGCAATACTATTTTGTGCACAAAAGTCAAGAAATGTATTGTGAAGAAAGGCTATATAGTTAAAGAAACACAGGCATATCTTCGTGTTTACAGGAAGGAGTGGCTGCATATTTTAAAATCTCAAGTGATACATGAAGTATTGGGCAGACTGGAGAAATTATTTTTAGAACATTAAATTATGTGGACTATGTAAATAAGCACTATTTTTTACTGACCCGCTGGCAAATGTGTAATGGAATCTATTCTTCAACACAGCTTCTTCACACTCGTGGGTATGTTTTGTCTAAAAACTACTTGAAATTCTTTTGACCTGCAAATATGTATCCTAATAAACCATGGTGTTTACAAAATCCCCAAGAAAAATTAACTGGGTAACAACGTACATCAAATTGATATATAATGGACAAAAATTTAGCAGGCATTCAATGCCAAAAATACTCGAATATTCCGTCTGCCCTTCTGGCATAGGAATTGGGTATTTTTAATCCTTTCACTATTTAGGGTGGGCAAATTTGTGGCTTTGGGTGAATGGACATAAAAGTGGCCCATGTAGAAAACCAATCTTAAAGAGAACTAATTATTTTCAATTGTTGCAGCTTTAAATCCCTTCTCATAACCCATTGGGTGTTAACTACGTCATTCATCCCCAGTGACTGAAATATCTGTATTACTGTGTTGTCAAGGGGCCATCGACAATATCTATGGCCAGTATAGTCTTGACTATTGAATAGTTTGATGACTTCTATTTGTAAGACTCCCTTTTCTTTCTTACCCTGGAAACCCAATTTACCTTGACAGTCTGTCATTTGTCCTGAGGTAGTGTTATGATGAAGAATTCAGCGAGATAATAGAGTAACATCGTAATATTTTTAAAATGTGCTTCAGGTGCCACCATGAAATCCATCCATTTGGACGGTAGACAGTCCTCAGTTGAGTGACCTGTCAGACATCAAATCACTGTCGGATGAAGTCACCCAGACTTAACAAGGATGACAGCTTTTTGCCTTAAACCTTTCCGAAACCCCACGCCCTGATTAAGTGGTGGTATTGTGGCATCAAGTACTGCTAAACTTCTTTCAATGACAATAGACTTGCGTAGGAAAGGTTTCCTGTCTTTTAAGCAAAGGGGAGCACAACTGAGGATTCCTTTTCTAAACTCTTCCGTGAGAAATATTCAGAGCATTGACAACAGTTAGGGTTGGTTTCTTACATCACATCGTATTTGATGGTAAGCCCTTAAGCTTACTATCTTATATTGAAATTTTGTCCTCATATTCAAAATTTTAAATTTGAAAACCACCTTCGAGGCCAACATTTGAGATTTGCTGAGCAACAAACATACAAACCATTTCAACGTAATGCAGTCTAAGGCACCACTACAGTACCTTACCATAGTGTGTCCTATAGTAATAATATATTATTGCTTTTTCTCTTCCCCAATGTTCAATTACTTTCTTTTTTAATACAGTGAATGATAAAAAAGGACAAATTATTCATACTGAAATGTTTACAAAATCAGTAATGGCAGGAAAAAAATAGAACTAATAAATGAGGTTCCTCTTCCCCTACTGCAAGAATGAAAATAAATGACTACCTTTGCCCAGTGGGTTCATATTAAGTAGTAATGGCTACACAATTAATAAACTATTACAAAGCAGCAGTGAACAGACTTTAAATAATCATAAAAATACAATACAATATCACGTTTGGAATCATCAAATAAGTCAATGGATAGTATCTTAATGGGGTGACTGAATCAAGGCAAGATAACAATAATGTTTAAACTTCTACATTTTAGTGACCTGCTTGGATTTTGGAAGCATGGTATTCATTTACTCATGTATTTCTTAAAATTAGATTCTTTAGAAATCAAGGTAAACATCAGGATCCTGCAGCATACTTTATCATCATAAAGGGTGCCTATTGTCTATGATAACGTTAGGCATTAAAAGGATCAAACATTTTCCTTGCTCTGAGAGGTGAACCTACTTTCATTCTTAAGTTGGCAGAAGTGTGTATGATGCTAGCTTTTCCTCCCCTCCCACAGTCCTTGAAGCTACGCTTGAAGGTCAGATCCTAACACTACACACCCTCCAGGTCACTCAGGTGTTCAGTAAGCCCTTAGTGGGTTAGGCCAGTGGCTTCAGTCATGCGTGGAGGCTCTGTAGAGTTTTGGGAGGTGCCTCAGTGGTCCCAGTGGCCAAACAGTGGGGCTCCAGGACCTCAATTTTCAAATCCTGATATTACACCTTCATATTTATGTCAGATAGAAAATGTCCCATAAAAAATAATTTGGAAAAAAAATAATCTTGTTGCTTAAAAATGTTTTTTAAAACACAGTCCAAGGGACTTGGGAGACTTAAGCAAGGATTCCTCTAGCCCTACCTAAGTCCTCCAGCATCTGCTCGCAGGACTAAACAAGATGCCGCCCCTGGGCCCTTGAATGCCAACAGGCTCACTTTGGGTTCAACACAGATCAAGGTCTTGAGTGGATGGTGTCACAAGGATTAATATCCCAGCCACTTCAAGTCTCTTTCTGTAGGAATCAGTTAGTTACAATATAAGAAAACAAAAGATCCGTACAGACTTCCTCAGCAGCACCCCTTAACAATGTGGAGGGCCTCTTCTTTCTCACCTTCTATGCCAGAGGAAACAAACACAGAAGTTGTAACATTATTCTTGCAAATGACTATACGCGCTTATTTTTTTCTAAGTAAATTAGAATCAGATATGAGCCTTGATTCAGGGTCTGAACAGAGTGGCAGACACGATAATTAAACTGCTCTCATGAATGGCCTATTCCTAAGACATCGCACGGGAAAATGAAACTCTGGCAACGACACCCTGTAATGACTGAGAAAAACGTTAGGACCCAAAGAAACCGGACATGCTGTTGGTGGTCACCTGACCAGTGGCAGGCGGATGGGCGCTGGTGTTATTGTTCCCTATAAACTTATTTTGTGTTCTTTTAATATAAAAGAAACTTCAAAGTTTATCTTCTTTCTCAATATGAAAAAAAATATGCAGAGGTATTAGATGAAAAAATATAAAAATGCTGGTGTGGTCTAAATAAATTTTAAAAATGTTCCATTGTAGGAAATAAAAAATAGGTACTATCTGTTATAATTCTGAGACCTTTTGTTGAGAACATGTGATCATTTCAATGTGGATTTAGTCCACCAGGGGTGTCCATGTTTCCAAATTAAGACTTTTACATAATATTATTAATGAGTTGAATTTTAACCAAAGAAAACATTCTTTAAACAAATAGAGAAATTGTTAGCAAATACTGTCAGTGAATGAACAATGGTAAATTTGGCTCATATCTTGGTTTCTGTCTGGATTTACTGCTTATGGAATATTATTTATTGTCACTGAATGGGAGAATTGTGGAGCTACGCTACCTGTTGTCACAATACACATGTGCATATATATACACACATGTGCACAGTCACACATTCTGATGCATGGTCTATAGGTATGTATATTACAAACTTTTGGGCAAAGCATTGCATCTAAGACTAATTGCTTTTGTATAAGGAAAAATAACAGGAGAATAGGAAACATCCCTCCTCAAAATAGTTGAATGTTCATACCGCTAAGTATATATATATATATATATATAGCACGTCAGAATGTGCAAACATTTTACTTATTGCAAAGTATCTTAGAGATTTAGACATCATTATAAAACGTCCTCAATGCGATTTTGGTAACCTAAGGTGTCGGTATATAATACCAAACTTCCAATGAAAGAGTTTCATATAAAAATATCAGCACAAAACTGCTTTTTCAATCTGTTTATTGTGTGAGCAACCCAAACTTCAGTTTAAGTGCTGTTGAGAGTTTATTCCTAGATTCCATAACCCTACAATTGATAAATTTCATACCGTTTTAGGTATTTAATGAGATACTTAGAAATACTAAGAAAAAAATCAGTATTCAAAGGATTAATTTTGTTTATAATAACAATAAATTATTTCATCATCTTCTTCAGTTCAAAATCCAGCTTTGAACCCGAGGAAGGCTTTCAAGACCCCGCTCACAAGATGGTGGTCCTTCAACCGGTCGCGGTCTGGTTACCGATTACGCGAAGGATCTCCTTGTGGATGCCTCCTTCTTGCGTGTTAATATTTGCATCTCCCACTTGGCCATCTTCATAGCTAAGGCACAAAGCAGAAACATGAAACGTGAACAAAGGGGAAACGTTCCAGGAAATTCAGAAAGCATTTCCAACAGCTGAGAAAGGCTGTCTGCTACCGAGAAGACAGCCCGGGATTAGCAACAGCGAAAGACAGTGAGTTCTCAGCTGTATCCTAATGATGCCTGCGCACCGGGAACCACAGAGGAGCTTGGCTACTCCATACCTGATTATGCCTCGCCCTCGCCCCTTCCTTCCTGTGACGTTTTAACTTCAATCCCCCACAAAGCCCGCCTGAGCTGCAGGGAGCTCTCTGAGCAGACATCCCCACAGCGGTTCAGGAAGCCCGGGTCAAGTTCATGCTCCTCAGACCCTGGCTTCTCCCGCTTCGCTCACTTCCTCACCAGTGACTCTAAGAAACCGCCTCATTGCTGCCGTGCGCTCCAAGCCCACCTCTAATTACTCCTCCGCGGTGACCAGTGAAGCATTTCGTCTTATCACCGGCGGGTGCATGGGTCTGTGATAACGCGTTCTCATTTATGTGCCCCTTCCCGTAAGAACGCGCGTGTGTGTGTGTGTGTGTGTGTGTGTGTGCGCGCGTGAGCACGCTAAGCTTAGCCAAGCAACCGCAGTGACAACGCCGGCTGAAAGACAGCAATTACCGAGGCCTTTAGAAAGACATAATGACATCCTAGATGATCATTCATCTCCTCACATAAACTTACTGGGGCGATAAAAATTTCCCAAGAATGACTTTTTAAACTTCCACGATAATATTCAGAGCAGAATAGGCAATGCATTAATTTTACTTCATGGGAATGACTTCAAGACGGAAGCTGTAGAGAAGCTCTAAGTGCTTCCAAACAGATAACCAGGTAAGCCAGGTCTCAGAGATTCATGTCTTTCCCTCGCCACACACAAATCTCCCCGAAACAGCACAACACAGGGAAATGAAGCAGATGACCCGGCAATGGGAACTCAGGGCCCCCCTAACCCACTGCTCCAGCACCCAGGGGCAGCCATCGGTGTCAGGTTGAAACTCCCCAGCACTGACTCAAGCGTGCCCGCCAACACTGCTAATTGTGACCACACAAGTGTGTGCACACACATATATGTGGGAATATATATATAAATACAGGACCCTCCATGCTGAAATATGACTGCAAGGAATGGTGTATGTGGTATACAGCCAGTTATAAATACTTCCTCAGATCAAGCAGTACGTTCCCTGTGAAGAACCAGAGAATGTGTAACGGGAGACGCTTTAGAGGTGTGGAAATCTCGTCAGGTGCTCTGTGGAAGAACAGGTAAAGATGCATATTCTACTGGGCAGAAAGTCTGTCATCCTGGTTTCTGAATAAATCCTAGCTCCCCATTGAGCTGCAGGTCAGCTAAGCACCCAGAATCTGAGCCGAGGCCGGGAGGCGACCTGCCCACTGGAGACAATGCGGTTTGACCACGCCAGCCTGGCCAGCGCTGCCGGGGCTCAGACTGGAAAACAGCGGAGAATGACGGAAAGGGAACAAATCAGACACCAGGAAGACACGGCCTGAGAGAAAGTGGGAACAGGGGAAGGTCTGAGAACTGTTTTGGTTCTTCTTCTTTCTTTTTAATATGTTTTTATTGGTTTTTAGAGAGAGAGGGGACAGGAAAGGAAAGCTCAGACATGTGATGACTGGTGGCACTAAGGCACTGACTTCAAGGGAGAGAGACAGAAACATCCATGGCAGAGAAATGCCAACACCGATTGGCTGCCTCGTGCCCTCCCCCTACTAGGGATCGAGCCTGCAATCTGGGTATGTGCCCTGATTGGGAATCAAACCATGACCTCCTGGTTCATAGGCCCACGCGCAACCCGAGCCATACCGACTAGGATGCTTTGGTCCTTGATGGCTTCCCAATTAAAAGTACCAGGCCACTTGCGTCTCTACTGTGAATTCCCTAATGTGCACACATGTCTGTCCTAGCTCCATGGTGCTTTGGGTACAGTCAGCACACCTACTCTGTCCTCCCTACTTTGGACGCCATTTGAAAAAGGTACCGAGTCTTCATACGACCATCTGCGCTTCCTCTAGATCAGCGGTTCTCAACCTGTGGGTCGCGACCCCTTTGGGGGTCGAACAACCCTTTCACAGGGGTCGCCTAAGACCATCGGAAAACACATATAATCACATACTGTTTTTGTGATTAATCACTATGCTTTAATTATGTTCAATTTGTAACAATGAAAATACATCCTGCATATCAGATATTTATATTATGATTTATAACAGTAGCAAAATTACAGTTATGAAGTAGCAATGAAAATAATTTTATGGTTGGGGTCACCACAACATGAGGAACTGTATTAAAGGGTCGCGGCATTAGGAAGGTTGAGAACCACTGCTCTACATGAAAGCTGGCCTTTGGTTAAGATTTGTCTGTCATATAAACCTGTTCCCTTTTCCCATCATCCACTGCAGTCGCTTGTCTAACCCTACACCTCTACTGACAGGCACTGACACCTGACACAGGCTGCCGTGGCCGCCTCAGGGATGAATTCAGGAGATTTTATCTGCTATAAACCCTCCAGTCTGCAAGAGGTGATATTGCTCGTTTTGTTTGTATTTTTAATTTTATTTTTCAGTTGACATGCAATATTATTTTCTATTGGTTTCAGGTGTGCAGCATAGGGTCAGACAGCCATGTATTTACAAAGTGCCCCCCTCCCCGATATTTCCAGTACCTGCCTGGCCCCATACACAGTGATTCCGATAGATTGACTGTATTCCCTGTGCTGCACTTTCCACCCCCACAGAGCACGGGGGGAGGGAGAACGGAGAGCAAGAGCGAGGTTGAGATGGAAAGTATTAAGAAAAATGCCCACTTTCCCACTGTCAATGAAGCATGAAGGAAGCCCAAAAGCTCGAGAGTAAAACTGGCCCAAAGCAGTCAGTGCCTTAAACTCTGAAGCAGACCGAACACTAAAGGGCAAACAACGACCCCCGCCCTGGTGGACTGGCAGAGCCAGACACGCGGTGATGGTGGCACCAGGGCACCGGCCTCAAGGCAGACACGGCCCTGGGTGGCTACTCCTTAGCACTGCAGACAAATACTGGGTTGTTCCTGGGAAGTTCAAGTCCAGAAAGCAACACCGTTTTAAAAAGAAACAGAGCAAGATCTCAACAGGGAAGTGAGACAGTGACTGGGGTTTTATGGAGAAGGAAAAATGAAAGCATCTAAAAGGAAACAGAAATGGCGCATGTTCCCAGGAGCATAAAAAGATTACGAACATTTTAATTGGAAAATCAACCAATTTGCTTCAAAAGCCAGGAGAGAGAAAATAAGGCGACAGATGGAACGTAGCTGTCGGGAACTCCCTGGGGAATGAGAGGAAAGCTCGCGGACAGAGACTTTTGAATGTTCCGACAACCTTTACTGTCGACCCGGTGTCATAGCTCTGTCACCAGCCTCAGGTGGCACAGGTCACTCGTCTGTCTCCCTAAATCTGGAACCCAGAAGCGACAGCACTGTTTTCCACCAGCAACAGAGGACACTCACTGTGGACGGACGGATGGCCCGCTCTCGCCAAGTCCCCACGAGAAACCCGTGTGTCCACCCTCTCCATTAAGGTACGACATGGGTCTTTGCTCAGTGCACCCACTCACTAGCATTCAGTGTTTCTGCACAAGACAACGGGAGGGTCCCAAGTAGGAACATAATTTGCATTTTACTAGGGGAGATAATAGTCATGCAAATGACTTTAGGATAAGGAGCCGGGGAGGTGCAAAGACAGGGTGTGCAAAACTGGGGGTGAAGACCCAGATCTCGTCTGAGGGGGGCGTCTGGAGAGGCCCAGGGGGACCACCATGTGGTCAAGACTTGGGAGACCGGCTGCAGGCCGGGCTGATGAGAAGGCCAGTCACCTGGACGGACTGAGAGTGGAGAGAGTCTTGGGAAGAACTCCTCCAAGCTGCTGGATAATCATTCTACTCCATCGGTCGTCTGTAGGGTAAGTGAAGTGAGTCAACGTGCTCTACGTTGCAGAAGGCCACGTTTGTAAAACAATTGGCAGCCTGACTGAGCAAGGAATCATGGAAAGTCTGCTTTCGGAAAAGTCATCTATGATAATAAAAGCGTAATATGCTAATCAGACCAGACAGTTGAACAACCTTCCGGACAACCTTCCGGACGAAGCTGGGGGCTGCGAGGGCCGAGCCCCTGGCATGAATTTCGTGCATCGGGCGTCTAGTGTGATATGAACAGCATGATCTTAAAATTGTATCTGCACAGAAATGCAGGCTACACATCAAAGAATAACTGTGAGTGGGGACGTTATGGGTGATTTTCTCCTTTTCTGCTCACCGTTGGTTTGGTTTCTGTAGATTAAACAGGTATCTCAGGTGTGACAATGGTAATGTGTAACAAGCCCGGCCTTGTACATAACGGATTGGGAGCAGTGAGGAGATCAGAGTGCGGAGAATAACTGGTATTAGTTGGTGTGCCCTGCGGGGAGAGAGTGACCTGTCCATGGAAACAAAGGTACTGATGGGAAAAAACAGAAAAGATGAACTTGGGAGCGATGACCACCGTGAGCAAGGACACAGACATGGAAGCTGCAGCTCAGGCTCCAGGTCTCTGATGTGTGGAATCCCTGCACAGATTGGGGAGCAGGGACGTGATCAGGGGACTTAGCAGTAATGGGCTCCCCTTTGTACACGCTGAGTTTAAGGCGTTCACAGACTTCAGTTATAATGGGGTGCTTCACTCGTACCTCTATCTGCCAAGCACTGTGTCAGGCACACAAACCCCAACCCGACCTCAGGAGGTACAGAGTCACGAAGAAGACCACACGGTAAGAAAGACCCACAGAGAACCGTGCCCAGGGCACTCCACAGTGACCGGAAGCGGCAGCACCAAGGAGCCAGGGAAGCTTCTGGAAGGAGGAACAACAGGCACTAGGATCTCAACGAAGAGTGGGGATCAGCCCTGGCAGGTGGGTGCCCTCCGTGCACGGGCTGGAGGGGTCTGGAGGGTGGGTCTCTGTCAGTGATAACAGTCAGGATGGTCAAGAGAGAAGAAAGGAACAAAGTGGAATGAGTGCCTTTCACACACACATGGAGGCTGCACACACACACAAACACACATGGAGGCTGCACATACACACACACACGGAGGCTGCACACACACACACACACACACACACACACACGGGGGCTGCACACATACGGAGGCTGCACACACACACGGAGGCTGCACACACACACACACACACACAGCACACACACGGAGGGTGCAGGCACCGCCTCTCCCTTGCATCCTGCCCCGGATCTCCCTGTGACTCTGTCCAATGCTCCCTCACCCTCTAGTTCCTGGGGTCTGACCACAGCAGAGACATGGGCAGGAGGTCAAGGTCCCTCAGTTCCAGCCCCCAGGGCACCCTGGCTACCTCTGTCCCTCAACCGAAGGCCATGGCTCCTGAAGAAGCCGCTGAGGCCTCGCGCCAGGGCCTGCTGCCTGCTTCCCGGCCTTGTCCCTGAGGCTAAGGATGCACCGTCTGGTGACTCCATGGGACGCGGGGCCCCTGGCACCAGCATCGGTAAGGAGCCCACTTACAGGACAGAAACGCTCTCACTTCTCATGGACCCGGCTCCTGCGGGAAGCCGGGATGACAGTGTGTCCGGCTGGGTCACCGAGGCGTCCCCGCACCTGCCGCTGAAGCTCGAGGGGCTCTGTGGCCATCGGCACCGCTACTGCCCGCAGCCTGGACCCGCCATCTGACCAGCGCGGGCTCTTCCCTCGCGCTCACGCCGCCTCGCCACTAACAGGGACACCTGCAGACGTGTGCGTCTCGGGATGTGTAACTGAGGAGTCAGCAGGCGTCCTGCGCACACAGGCCGCACAGCTACAGAGCACGTGACCCTGCATCGTCAGGGACTCGGCTCTCACGCCGCCCGCAGGAGAGCAGCAGCCAGCCCGCCGACGGGCTGTGGACGGCAGGCCGGACACCGGGCTGCGCTCTCCTGACGCCGTCTGGGTGCAGCCACTCGGACCCGGCTCCGGAGGAACAAGCCAGTGCCTCTCCCAGCTTCTTTCTCAACGACCACAGACACGTCCACCAGGGATGCTCTCCCTCCCCGAGCCCTCGCCGGCCGGACGGGGACGAGGAGAACGTGTGTGTGTGTGTGTGGGGGGGGATCAGCAGCTCCACCTCGCTCATGTTCACTCGGGGGTGAAGAGGAACGCTGCTATACTCCAGCTCAGCTCTGAGGAAAAACCACAACACTGTGCCCAGGCGGCCACCCTGCATTCTGTGGGATGTAAGCCAGCTTTTTATAGTTTTCATTCCACGTCCTCATATTTGTAAGTATATAGAAATAAAGAATGCATATGTCTGTGTATGTGCCTGTATATATCTACACATGACACCTGTGTTTATGTATATACAGCCACATATACATACACACACGTATACACATGTACACATACATAAATACAGATAGATGGCTAAAAAGATGATATTTTTCTTCAATCCTCCCAGGTTAATAGCATTTAAATATCACTGCTTTCTTCCAGCTTATTAAAATAAAACGGAAATGCGAAGTTGATGGAGATGACGTGTGTCACACACTGGCGGCGGAAGCAGTCACCGCGACCTCCCTGACGGAGGACGGTGACACAGGTGGGCGCTGTGACACTTACACGAAGAAGAACCGGGTGCAGACGTGCTCGGTGTTCGGGACGACCCATATCTCCCCGTGTCTGTGCAGGTCCGGCGAGGTGATCACTGTCGGCGAAAAGGTACGTTAAAGAAGGATTTTATCCGAGTTACGACATCCCTCCCCTTAGGAACCTCAACGCAAAAGTACGTGCAACATTAACCCATGAAAGACGGTCGACATCGTTAGTGATGGAGAAATGTAAACAAGAACTCTGAGAGGCCACTCCACACCACCAGGCGTTGGCGTGACGGCAGGTGCAACCTGGCTGGTGCGCCATCTGCAGGATGCGGGTCCTGGCTGCCTGGACTGTGCAGGTAGCGGCCAGGGTCCCAGAGAACTAGCAAGTGGCACAAACCTACCAAACAGCTCCCAGCGGCTGCCAAAACCCCCAACTCAAGCGTGAACTCTCATCCCCAGTCAGATTTTCAATCAAGAACAGAGAAAAGTAGATGGTCGTGCAAACTGCCTGCAGTCACTTTTCTGTCCCAAGTTCAGAACAGAAAGACAAGTTCAGTACAGGAACAGAAAGGCCTAGCGGACTCTCTCCTCAGTGCTCGGTCCATCTTCACAATTGTTCATAATATCACACATCAAAGCCAACTAAGGGAGAAGGCGGCACCTTCACACAGAGATGAGCGATCCCAGGTCAGGCAGCTGGAGCTGCCATGCTGAGGTGCCTGCCGGGAACAAAGCAGCACTGTCCGAATTCTGCCAACCCGGCTCCTTCGCTCTGACCTTTCCGACCTCTATGGTAGCCGTGTTCCCTCTGTGCCCTTAGAAACGGCCCCGAGGAATAATACTTTCACTACTCAGCTACGAGCATTCCGTTAACTCTTTGCGGGCCAATGTTATTTTTGGAATTCAAACAGTCTGGTCCAAATTAATTGACGGGATTGAATGTTGAACTTTTTAACGTTCTTACTGCTCGACATTGGTCCTGCTCCTAGCGCCTGGTCTGTTGAGTCAGCCTCGAGGTTGGACCAAAAAGCATTAGCACATTCCCATTCCTAAGTGCAGATATGACAGAGTGACTGCTACACGGCTTGCAAGAACCACAACTTACCTTCACATAAGGCTATGCATTTTAGGTTACGGCTTTGCAGGAACTGGGATTGCTGTCCTTTTTTCTGTGACTAAATTCCAAGAGAATTTAAAAATTAGAGCGAAAATGGGGCAGTCACTAAACTCGGCGATTAATTAAAAAACAACAGTCACTAAGAAAGCTCCCAAAAGGCCCCTCTAGACTAGCAGCAATGTCCTCGCGCTCTTCCGAGCGGCCGCTCTGTTTGCTACATCGTTAAATATTGTACATAGTCACTGTTAAAGCACTCTCCAAGTGAACAAAAAATGCTAGATTACACTTCAATCGCCTCACAGCAGAGAATTCAAACTTGTTTCCACTGGAAGCCTGGAATCTCTACTCCCTGGGGCATAAAATTAAAGTCGCAGGAGCCTCTCAAACATTAAACTCAGTTTTTCCCAGCCACCTAACTATGCAAAACCCATGCTTATAACTTCACTCAGCCACAGGGGTGTCAGATTTGCCTCTTGTGGAAGATCGGGGGTTTTGTTTTTAGATATTACATTAGCTATACTTTTTTAAAAAAAATCAAGGTCACATCATTCATCCGATGGATTTCAATTTGTCCAGAATGCTTGTTTTCTTTGAAAAACAAGGGATTTGGCCCGGCATGGCTCAGTGGTTGAGTGTCAACCTATGAACCAGAAGGTCATGGGTTCAATTTCCAGTCAGGGCACATGCTCAGATTGAGGGCTTGATCCCCAGTGGGGGCGTACAGGAGGCAGCCAGTCAATGATTCGTTCTTGTCATTGATGTTTCTATCTCTCTCCCTCTCCCTTCCTCTCTGAAATCAATCTATATATATAAAAGCCTAAATGACTGGCCAGTAGCTATGATGCTCAATGACCACCAGGGGGCAGACACTCAATGCACAGGCATGGAAACATGGAACAGACTGATGAATCTCAGAGGGGAGGGAGGAAGGGAGAGGGCAGGAAGAGATTAACCAAAGATCTTATTTGCATACTAGAGGCCTGGCGCACAGATTCATGAACCGGTGAGGTCCCTCGGCCTGGCCTGCAGGGATCAGGCAGAAACTGGCTTTTCAACATCCCCTGAGGGGTCCCGGATTGCGAGAGGGCACAGGCCAGGCTGAGGGACCCCACTGGTGCACGAATCCATGCACCAGGCCTCTAGTAAAATTATATTTTAAATAAAAGAAACAAGAACTCTGTACTTGCTCTGCTCTCTGCCTGGAGGTTTCCTCCCACAACTGAAAGCATGCACCCCCCCAACCCTCGGACCTTTAGTCAATTCCCCCCAACTACTGCCTGACACTCATCCTCGCTCCATCTCCCACACCACCACATTCAACAGCCCCTTCCCCAACTTCTCTCTGCAGTATTTACCATCCGCAGGCTCTCCACCTGAATGTATAGCCAGTTTACTTCTCTCCGCTCAGCAGAAAGGAGGCTCGGAGAGGATGTGTCTATTTTTAATCCTCACGGTAGCCTAATGCCTTGGAGAGCCTCCAGCATCGCCGGAGGAGCTCGATACAGACTTGCTGAGTATTTATTGAATAAAGGCATTTGGGTTATTACATTTCAGGGTGAGTTTCGTTCCCTTGTGAGTAATGACCACTTAAAATAATTCTGCAGACTTAGAGAACCCAAGCATTTCTGGGAACCCTGCCGGCTAACGGGGGGGCGGGTGGGGGGGGGCACTCATCGGGCGCGGCCACGCAGGTTGCTAGACACCTGTGATGCATTGCTGCTTTTACTGCTGGATGCCGGCTCATCCTTGGCTGACACCTTCTGCTTCTTGTTCATCCCTGAAAACATCAGCAAGACAATCATTTAGGAGCAAAGCTGCACGACACAGCTCAAAACGCACTCTGTCCACACGGCAAAGTTCCACTGCAGCAAAGGTTTGGTCGCGTGAGGCCACTGGCAGGGACAGTGGCTGTGTCCTCGGTACCCGGGGTGGAGGGTCAGGGGGTTCAGAGGCCCTGGTGGAGGTAGGAAGCAGACAGGCGGGCGTTTTTCTTTGCATTGGAACAGGAATGGGAAATTCTCTCGCATACATTAGAGACAGTAAGAAAATTCTTAAAATTTGGTTTAAAGGGCTTTTAGACCCGTTCTTTCATTCTTACCATCTGGTTCGCAGAAGGAGACGGTAAGGGGTTGGAAACACGAACAATATGAAAAATAGTTATAGCCCTGGCTGGTTTTGTTCAGTGGATAGAGCATCGGGCTGGGGACTGAAGGGTGCCGGGTTTGATTCCGGTCAAGTGCACATGCCGGCTGGCGGGCTCTATCCCCAGTGGGGGGCGTGCAGGAGACAGCCAATCAATGATTCTCTCCCATCATTGATGTTTCTATCTCCCTCTCCCTCTCCCTTCCTCTCTGGAATCAATAAAAATATGTTTAAAAAGGAAAAGGCGACCCAATGAAGAAATACTTATATTTATACTATAAATATATATATATACATATACATATATACATACATATATATATATATAATACTATACATGTCCCATTCCATGAAGAATTTACTACTTCTCCTAATAAAGAACTATGTAAGTCCTCTTGTCTACGACACTCAAAGCCTTAGCTTTGACTGTTTACTGTGAAACACTTGAGACATAACCGCAGTGGGATCCCGTCTGTGTGAGACGCGGTCGACGGCAGCTAGAGCGCATCTGAAAAGGCTCATCCGCTGCTCTGAGTGAGGATGCGTGGTTGCGGTTGGTGGCTGCTGTTTCAGAAGCTTCAGGAGGAGGGAAAGCCATGGACCAACTCCCACTGGGGCGGCTGCAACCTCTCCAGGAGCCTGTCTCTCTCTGCCCCCGGACGCCCGGCCCTCGGACCAGCGAGGAAGCCCCTTCATCTCACTGCCATGTTTCGTACATTTTTCCTGATCAAAGACACCAGGAATTTGCTGACAGCTCTGGACCCCCTACCAGACCATGAACATTCTCACGGATTTTACATCCATTTGTACCCCCACGGTCCTGTCTCTGAGCCCATCGAAGGGGCCTACGCACCAGCTTGAGAAGCAGAAAATCAGAGTCTTTGATGGTTTGCTGTGTTTTTCTTATCTCTAATGAGGCTGTCTTATGTAAAGCGGTCTCACATTAGTTTTTATTGTGTCCTGCTTTAATAAGATGTAGAGCCGGGTTTCTGCTGGTTTTAATTATTTCCTCCGTTGAACTAGGTCACTGCATTGCCCATGCTACCTTATTCTTCCTAATATTACTTATTGTCCTAGTGTTTTTTGGCACATTGTACTTTCCAAATTGCTGCAACAATATTTCTCAACCCTGTGCCTTCCTGGCACGTGGCTCTGCCTCCCTTTCCTCGGGAGATGGAGGCTAATTCCCAGCCTGGAACACAGAGGGCTTGTGACACTCTGACCAATAAATAGTGCAGGCAGGAAGTGACGTCACCCGGCTGCCGAGGCTGCACCAGGAAAGGCGGACGGGGTCTACCTGGTGCTCCTAGGACACGTGCTCTGCCCCAGGTAAGGGCAAATCACTGAGCACAATCTGCTGTCACTGAAAAAGCACAAACCAGGGCAAAGAAATGAGACCGGAGGCCTGGCCTACGTTCCTCTGGTTACCAGACCCTCCAAATACCCTTTCCTACCAGGGGGATCTTACCACCCAGGCACCCGGCATGCACTCCTGGTGCGGGTTAATGTAATCACGTACACACACACACACACACACACACACACGAACACAGAGGCAAAACCAACTATATGTGCAGGTATATGAATGCAAGACAGGAAACACATCGAACACAGGTTGTAGACCAAGAGGAGAAAATTTCATTTGTTACTAATGACTTTATATTTAAACAGAACAAAATATTGTTTTTGAAAATGACACTGATCATTTAAACATATTCCAAAAAAAATTAAAAGAAAAAGAAGAAATTACCCCAAATTCCACCACGTGAGGGGAGTCATTGCTAACAACTTGGTGACCCTTCCTTCTGTATTCTGAACTGACCACACTCCTCTCAGCACTTGCTTTCGATTGCTTCTAAGACAGTTTTCCCCCACAATTTCATCAAAATATTACCAACAAGTTGCCAACGAGTAGGATGATTTCAAGGGTGTTTTTTCTAACCCTACAATTTCCATACTGTTTAAAACTTCTCTATGGGATATATAATAATCCAAAGAAAAGAAGTTGGCATGTTATGGACTTATACTCAGGGATCGTGAAGTGATATGTATGAATACTTTCCAGTATTTAATTGTGGACAGAATACATACAGAAACTACTGATCCAAAATTAAAACTGATCTTGAAATTGACAAAACACATATAGCTTCTTGGACCTTAAGGGGATTATTATACATTCATCTTGAAATGTGCACTTCCTTTTGCTTCTGACATTGATTTGAAAAAAAGTAATCCAAATACATCAAATAAGCTTCAGTCACTTGTTAGAAAATCATGCCTGGCATATACAACAATAAGGACACGAAAACCTAACCCATGTTGAGGTTAGATGTGAAATACAAGCTCACCTGAGTAACCAAATGATATGCTTGACATTGGACTTAGGTAGATTCCGCTGCCGTACATGGCACCGTGGAGCTGCAGGGGGGAGACGGGAGAGAAAGTGGTGGTTTCCGATGTTAATAGCTTACGAAAGGGGCCATCGATCTCAGCGGGAGCACTGGCTGTTAGAAATGACAAAGCGCTTACGGCAAGGCCTAACGTGAAAAGAGCAACACTGAGAGCCTTGTCCTTAACGTTCAGGGTAAGTGACACATGGGAAATGCTGGGCAGAGCAAAATCCCTTCCCACCGGCGGTGACAGAGGCCGCTTCCTGTAGACCATGGTCGTGGGCTTTTGTGCTAATGAGTCTAAAATTCTGAAAACGATCCAGGCTGACACATGTGCGAGGATCTGGACACGAACCCACTTGCTCGTAAACCGAAGGGTCCTGCTCCGATGTGCATTGTGCACAGGGTCTCCCTCGTTTAACCTGCACATCTTCACGTCGCCGAGTTCCATTCGCTGAAACTCTTCAACTGGTCGGAGAAACGCCTCGGCACGAGGAACATTCTTTCTCAGTGTCGGCAAGTTCTCGGGCCTCGGTACCCTCTTCGGTACGAACTGAATCTGTGAGCGTTACTGCAATTGAGTCATCTCAGCGGATCAGCGCGTGGGGTCCAGCTTGTGGGGCCCGGTGCTGGGGCGAGCCCCTCCTTTCCTGACCCCCACATCCTCGGGTGAAATGGCCTGGACAGCGGGGATGCGGGGCTGGAGGGGTGAATGACGAGGCCTGTACCCCGTGTGCTGCCCGCGCCAGCGCTGCCTGAGGCTGGACAGCAGGCCGAGGGCCCGTGGCGTCCACGCTAGTCCCCCCTTTCCTTCCCTCGTTCACCCCGAAGCAGCGCTGCAAACACGTGTGTTTGACGGACAGCGGATGCACGGAGGCTCTTACTGGTGCAGGAGAGCTGTTTCTACCTAAGTTCCAAGCGATCTTCTCATGGGCAAGCCAACCTTTCTGCCTCCGCTCCTTTATGAAGACTACTTACGCCTCCTACGAATCCCATGGACTTTAAAAATATCCAAATATTTTCTCTCTTTCCAAGTAAAACCTTAACCCCGGGTTGCTCACCAAGCTGCAACCCTGAGGAATGACGAGGGCGCATCGGGGAGGCTCGGAGACTCACCTGCAGCCTCGTGTTAGACGCCACGACCAGGCCGTTCCTCAGGATTGAGTGCCAGTTCTCAATGTGGGAGCCGCTGGAACAGGGGTGGTGGGGGGGGGGACATAACCAGAAATCAATGATATTTTAAAAACAACAATAAAAAAAAAAGTCACGGCGCCTTCTGAAAGTAGTGAGTTCCCAGGTCGTGTTATGTGTAGTTGGCTGCTCAGAGTTCAGAGTTAGTGTAGCCGGCTCCGCACAGAGGTTCCTCCCACCCAGGGCGGCAGGAGCGCCACCCCTGCCCCCCACACCCCACTGAGCACTGAGCACTGAGCACTCACTGAAACGCGAAGGTGCTGCCGAAGAGCTTCTTAGCGGCTCTGAAGTTGGATTCTTTGGCTGGTGGGCTGCTGAGAAGCAGGAACTGGTGTGGCGTGTGCATGAACTTCAGTTGCTGCCGGTGACAAGGAGGACAAACGGGAAAATGCTCAACTCAACGTGCAATCAGCCTGCTGACAATTTCAAAGTTTACCGGTTCCAGAACTAGCTAGCTTCACACCATCAAGAATTTAGGTTCATCACATTAACAGAACCATTCATTAAGAAAAACAAAAACCCAACCCTGTACACATGACAGGTCATGGAATTGCCCATACGAAGGACAATTCTTTAGGCCAGCGGTTCTCAACCTGTGGGTCGCGCCCCCTTTGGGGGTCGAACAACCCTTTCACAGGGGTCGCCTAAGACCATCGGAAAACACATATATAATTACATATTGTTTTTTTTATTAATCACTATGCTTTAATTATGTTCAATTTGTAACAATGAAATTGGGGGTCACCACCACATGAGGAGCTGTATTAAAGGGTCGCGGCATTAGGAAGGTTGAGAACCTCTGCTTTAGGCTAACAGAAAAAGGACCGGAGGCCAACACGTCATTTACGTGTAGATCTGCCTTCCTAATTACATTCCTTCTTAAGAACTTTAGTATTGAATTCCCTACGTGCACACTAGCTATTCAACTGGGGAAACCGTCCGAGAGTTTGCTAGGCAAAAAAGAAGTTAGGTCAAGCGGTTTAAATAGCAAAAACGATCATCATCATGCTGCGTTTGCATATATTTATGAAATTGGAAATGGCCTACATTCAAATATTGTCTCCTGCTTTGTTCAGAGAAAATGCAAAACGGAACCTTTGGGGATAAGTTGATCGCCTTGCACCGGGGAATATTCTCATTTAGGGATGCAAGAGAGGGCTCTGCAGATTAGAGAGTCACAGACAGGGAGCTGAGAGTCCAGGAACCACTGCTCTCGGGGGACGGGCAGAGCTGAACGCAGTCTATTAGCTCGCTCGCTGTTTTGTAAGCGACTGGGCAGGTCAGAAAGGTACCCGGAGGCATGATCTTCTCCGATACAGAAAAGCAGCGCTGCGCCAACGGGAGGCCGACCGTGAGAAAAGGCAACGGCCTCTTTCTGGCCCGTCCCCAGGGGACAGTCTTCCTACCACCTTCGGAATAACTGCCTCAAACCGACCCTGATTTACTTAAAAGGCCAGGGCGTCAGCCGGCACTGAAACGGGGCATCTGGGAAAAGCTAGAAGATGGTGCAGATACTGCAGATACGGCAGCTTCACCCTGAAGCAACGGCCTTGACCCAAGTCTAGTTTAACCTCCGGAGAGGCTGCAGACACCCACAGGGCCAGTCCTCCCCGCCAGCGCGGCCTCCGTGCGTGGGGACATGCGAAAGAGCAACTTACCCTGTTGACTGGCAGTTTCACAATATGTGACCTATTACTTGAAATAACCCTGAAATCAATTAAAACAATCAATCAGTCAAAAACATTTGCTGAATATATTTAAAGTTTTATTCCTGAGTTGGCGAGTGATTGAAATGTACTTTTACTGCGACATAAAGTAAACTGAGTAATAATTTTATTTAATTACATCATTTTGCTTTGCTTCCTGAAGCAATTTAAAGAGCTTACATAACAAAATGATATTTTAATCTGGGAATACGTTAGTCATTTCTTCTATAACTTAAGAAATAATTTTTAATAATAACAATCTCAAAAATTAACAAAATGAACACCTCTGAATATACTTTCAAATAATGATAATCTGAATATTACAAAGATCAGAGGCTGATCCATCATCTGCTTCCTTTGTCCCTCCCAACATTACCTAATTAAAAATGCATTTTAGCCGAAACCGGTTTAGCTCAGTGGATAGGGCGTCAGCCTGCGAACTGAAAGGTCCCAGGTTCGATTCCGGTCAAGGGCATGTACCTGGGTTGCGGGCACATCCCCAGTGGGAGATGTGCAGGAGGCAGCTGGTCGATGTTTCGCTCTCATCGATGTTTCTAACTCTCTATCTCTCTCCCTTCCTCTCTGTAAAAAATCAATAAAATATATTTTAAAAAAATGCGTTTTAATGAAGACCTTTTTCCTCGAGCACCTGAGAATCTCTTTAGGCTGACATATACAATGATTTACATACAGACTGTTACTCAGCATTAGACACTGAAGCGGAAAAGGTTAAATTCAGGTATCTGAAAGAATTGGTTCATGTACACAAAATAATAAGCAGGGGAAATGGCAAAACATTTTGGTAATATTTTTTAACCTTGAAAGAGGGTTGACAACTAATGAAAGGTTATTAATCAGGCTGACTTCAGGGGGAAAAGAGATGAGACAGCTGAGATCTGTATGTGAGATGACTAATGCGAGAACTTTAAAAGTTAAAATGAAAACTATAGGTTGTTTTACTGAACTCAGGATTTTAGTAACAGATCATAAAACATTCAAAGAAGGGAGATTTCTAAACTTAATTTTTGTCCCAGTCTCATTAAATTAAACTCGATGTGTCCTGTAAAATTCTGAGGAAGTGAAAGTGAAGCCATCAGAATCCGGGGGCACCCAGAGTCTGTTGCCTTCTCCCAGCTCCACATTCTGTAAAGACTTTCCGGCTGGAGACGGAGTGAATACTCCTCGCACCCACCTCTCCGAGTTTACGCTTGCATTACTGCGTGGTACCTGTGGGGAACCCCGCAGCCCGAGTGTTCAGAAACCTCGAAGAGACACGTACGTAAACCCTTCCACGGATGGTGAGCAGATACTACTGTTTTCATTGTAAAAATGAGAAACCAGCCCTAACTGGTTTGGCTCAGTGGATAGAGAGCATCAGCCTGAGGACTCAAGGGTCCCAGGTTCGATTCCGGTCAAGGGCATGTACCTTGGTTGCGGGCACATCCCCAGTAGGGAGTGTGCAGGAGGCAGCTGATGGATGTTTCTCTGTCATTGATGTTTCTAACTCTCTATCCCTCTCCCTTCCTCTCTGTAAAAAAATCAATAAAATATATTTTTTTAAAAATGAGAAACCAGCGGGCAAATGATTTGAATGGCGCTGTGCAAGGTGGGTCGTCCACCGCCTCCCCTGGTAGCCTGGCCTCCTTCCAGGGCCCCTGACCAGGCTCCTCCCCTGCTGTCCTCGAACGAGGAGCTCACCCCAGGTGCACGGTCCTTGTAAGGGAGCAGATTCCACCCACCCACATTTCAGACCAGCGGTCCACAGTGGGCGAGATTTACCACTTAGTCCTCAGCTACAAAGTTAAATAAACCGAAAACTGCTTCCCCACGTCACCCGGTTCATTGCGTTTTTTACACAACAGACAAACCGCTGTCAAACTGGCTGTGCGTCCACTCGGCCGCCGACAGCCGCTCCTCCCTCAGCGAGGGGCGAGGTCTAATGACAGCGAGCTGGGAGGCTCGTGGAGAAATCACAGCCCCAGAGGCCTGCACAGGGAGCCCTGCAGGTTCTGTAACACAGGCCTCCCCCGGAGCAGGTGGAGAGAGGGCGGTTTTCAGGAAGAGAATGAAAATGCGATACCATTGCAGCAGGGGGTGCGCCAGCGGGTCCTGCTTGTCCATCTGCTTCTTGATCTCCAGATACGGGGCCTGAAAAAGTCATTGCACGTCTTGATCGTCCTTAAAACTCCCCCTCCTTCCCTTTTCGCAAAAGAAAACTCAGATTGAGCAGGCAGGCATGCTTCCATCTAGCGACGCTTGAAAGACCGCGGGTGACATGGCAACAGCAACCATCACCCAAACCGCTCCCCTCCCCCCGCACTCACCCGCACATCCTGCTGAGGCCTGAGCCTGGCTTCCCTGCACTCGTCCGGGTCCCTACGGGTGACCCCAGGCCCCGCTGGGCCTCCGTTCAAGGACACCCGAGGCTGCCACACCACAGACGGCGTGTTGTACCAACCCACGCGGCCTAACTTCTCAGTAATTCCCCACTTACCCTCCTAAATTCCCTACCCCCGCCGTCCTGTCTCCACTTCCCCATAACCCTGGCCCCTGGCTGTCCTCTGTTGAAGTGTCAGCCCTCTGTCCCCTGGAGGTGAGCTGGCTCCTCCACAGGCCTCCAGTGACATCTGCCCTGCGCCTTCAAGGGTCCCTCCCGGGCCGGTTCTCTGGGACAGTGACAGTTCTCAGCTAACATGGAAGCAGGACTTGCAATAGCTACGACTCAAGCTCAGATTGAAGTAGCGACTCAGGTGTAGATCTTTGCATGAAAAAAAGGGCAAAATCTACCTAAGAAGAGCCCTTCTCTTACGAGCATTTAAGGGCATTTACCGGTCACAGAACCAAGAGCGATCTGTCTGGGACACGGTAGGTCTATGTGGAGGACAGTCCATGCTAGAAAACAGGCCAGTGTAGTGTGATGGTTATGCCGAGAGGTTTGAAGTAGGTGCCCACGAAACCTGACAGCACCCCACGAGGTGCCCGCGAGAGAGGGTGCAGTTATGTTCACTGTCTTGACGGGAGTGGAGGCATCAGACGACAGAGTGACTGCCCAAGGTCACGGGCCACATCACTGATGAGCAAGTTGTACAAAGTGGGCCTCGGACTGGACCTCCTGGGCTGACTCAGCCGTCTCCGCTGCCTCCACTGAGCCAGAATAAAGGACGCCGCTCCCACCAGAGCTGACCCAGAGCTGACCTAGAGCCGACCCGAAGCCGACCCAGAGCCGACCCAGAGCTGACCCAGAGCCAACCCAAAGCCAGAGGCACGGGTATTTTTATATCCAAGAGTGACCTGGGTCCGGGGTGGAGTATAAATATCCCGCACAGAGTCCCTGGTGATCAGAGCTGCTACTTAACTTTGAGTGAAATGCTGCAATAGGTTCTCTTTCCCCCTGGGTGGAAATGCATTTCATTTTATTTTCCTCATGCAAATATATTTGTTAGAACAGAATCCACATAATACAGAAAGGTGGGGGCATGGAGAAACAACTGCCAAGGATGCCGAAGGAGCAAGGAACGCGGTGTGGGAGTTCAAGGCTCTTGTTTGCCCGCGCCCGGCACGGACTATTTGTGAATGAACGGAGGCATGTTTGCCTGCATGAATAATTAACTATCCAGAGCATCCATAACCAAAGTTGGGAACGTGAAGGCGCACTTTTGAAGCACGTGTTCATAGACTACAGATGATGCGGGGGGGGGGGGGTTGGGGGGGCAGAGAGTGGAGCAAAGCCTGTCCCCTCCCCACCCAGGACTCCCTCCTGGAGAGAGGAAGTGACCCAGGTAACAATGCTCATCAGCCCACGGGCGCCTCCGGGTGTGCCCACCTTGAACCTGAACCCATCATGTGTGTGGCTGTCCATCTGAGATGATTCATTTCTATTTAAAATGATGAGTTTGAAACCTCTCCCCTAATCTCGATCAGGGGACTGGGCCCCGTCATTCACGGGCATGCACTTTTCCAAGTGCCGGACCGCACACAGCCCAGTGACATGTCAGCCTCTCACCGCAAACCCCGGTCCTCGCTCACCAACTTTCCCACCAAAGCCTCTCTCCTAAAGGCCAGAGACAGAGCTCAGACCCTCAGGGGTCTGCTGTCTTCCAGAGCTGTTTGGAGGTTCCGTATCACGTCTAAAATATTTACGTACAATTTAACTTTGGTAAAATATTTGTTTTTACCATTGAAATGATGTTTTGAAATTATTCCCACTGATTAAAACTGACCGTCTAGGGCAGTGGTTGGCAAACTGCGTCTCGCGAGCCACATGCGGCTCTTTGGCCCCTTGAGTGTGGCTCTTCCACAAAATACCGACTTTTGCGCATGGGCCACGAAGTTTCAATCGCACTGTACATGCGCGCCCACACGTGGCATTTTGTGGAAGAGCCACACTCAAGGGGCCAAAGAGCTGCATGTGGCTCGCGAGCCGAGGTTTGCCGACCACGGGTCTAGGGAGAGGGTGCCAGACTTAACCTCTGATATCCCGCCACACCTCCGGGTACTCCAGCAGAGGCAGCACGCAATGCACCGGTGCGGTTTAATTAAAACGCCTCGGTACAGACCGCTTTAATGTTTCTACGACTTTAATTATGTCCCCACGTAACAGAAGAGTCTGCGTTGCACTGCGTGGCCAGCACTCTCAGTCTTTTTTCCCCTCAGACATTTTTCAAATAGGATTTTACTCCAGCAAAGCAGAACTGCCCAAGCCCACAGACGATATTCTTACCTGCGTCATTTCTCTAATAGAAGTGATGCTGTCCAGTGCTTTCATTACTCGATCGTAATTCTTCTTCTGTGGGAATGGAAAAAAATAGCATTTTTGCAAGTCTGCACGTTACTGGAGAAACATACGATTTCTGTGCGTGGATTCTCCATAATGACCGCGCTGTGCACGTAGGGAAGGCTAAGAAGACGGCCCAAGGGTGCAGGACTTATCACTGAGTTGAGAGGGAAGAAAAGGAGAAAGCAGCGCCAGGCCCCGTAAAGCACATGAAACCATGCCCCGCCCACAGGGGAGAAACTGTAAATACAACAAAGACGCTGCGTTCCTGATTCTGCCTTTCAGCTCCAAAAAATGACGGCCCGATGAATAAATTAAGCATAGAATCCTTCTAAAATACAAAACCCACTTGGAGTTTCACAATTTCATTTTGCTTTTATTTCCATTTGATCGGAAGATTGTTACCCAAAGGGGATGACTGACAGGTGTGTAAACACCACCATACACTCCACTGATCATTCATTTGTGAGCATAATGCAAGTGTGTAATGTACGCTGCTTACGAGGACAGAAAATTCTCCCCCGGAAATTTTTTATGGTCCGTGTTTCTAGAAAATGCTTTCCATATGAATAGCAAGAGAAATTAAGGCAATTTTAGCTGTTGTGCAATTTGAAATTTTTATTTCAGGAGGGTTCTGCCTCACAGCCGTTAATATTTATAAAAGAGTTTTCTCAAGAAATGCCAGCAATCGACACTATGGAATGCATTATCACTAACCTTCAGATAACCGAGGGGTGGGGAGGGCAAGGGACTACACCGAAAATATAACAGAAAAGGGGACATTTGTCCTTTTCATACATGATTCTCATAAGGAGTTACGTAAGTTAGAATCTCAAAAACTATGTAATGGAATTAAAACAATCCTATTGACCATTATCACTATCAACCAATGTCTGAGCAATATTTACTACAGCTGTTCACCGACCTTCCATGCCCATTTGGGAGTGTAAAGGTCAAAATGTGAGAGAATTCAACGGGCTTACTTTCATGAAGATGAAGCTCTGCAAGTGATGTGAAGGGTGGATGGGTAGGGAAGGAGCAGGACATGGGAAGGGTGGATGGATAGGGAACAGGACATGGGAAGGGTGGATGGACAGGGAAGGAGCAGGACATGGGAAAGACGGAGCAAATCCCGTCAGCAGAAAAGGAACCGGAGTCCCTGCAGTCACGGGCCTGCTCGGGGAGGCAGCGATTCAGACGGAAGAGGACACGGAGGAGCCGGCATTCTCAGCCGCGGAAGGGAGCCTTGAGCGTCGGGGCTACTCACCCTGGGGTTGAAGGCCAGCATCTGAGGGTCGTTGGGGTCGACCACGGAAGGGTATGGCTCGAAAATGACCACTTTCCTGGGAGATTCCAGCGCAGACCTGCACATGGACACCAGCAGGTCCACCACCTTCAAACACACACAGGGCACGGTTACCAACCTCCCGGCTTGGCCAGGCGCCTGGCCTGTGGCTCCCTCACGGTGGTCGGTCAGGGGAGATTCGGGATTGCTATCGGCCCCTCAAATCAGATTCAACCACAGCTGACCATTCATTTAAAGCAGCGGTTCTCAACCTGTGGGTCATGACCCCTTTGGCAGTCGAACGACCCTTTCACAGGGGTCGCCTAAGACCATCCTGCATATCAGATATTTACATGACGATTCATAACAATAGCAACATTACAGTGATGAAGTAGCAACAAAAATAATTTTATGATTGGGTCACAACATGAGGAACTGTATTTAAAGGGCCAGAAGGTTGAGAACCGCTTATTTAAAGGAATACCACCTGTTGCTTCCAATTACTCAGTCCTCATACCCCTTCAACAAGTGTTAAGTAAACTTATGTAACTTTAAGTTGTGGACCATCTGCCACTCTACTCCTTGCCACCACTGTATGTTGTTAAATAGTATAGGACTGCAGAGTATGTTTTTGTATAGGGATGGCCTAGCCCAGTGATGGCGAACCTAGGACACGCGTGTCAGAGGTGACACGCGAACTCATTTTTTTGGTTGATTTTTCTTTGTTAAATGGCATTTAAATATATAAGATAAATATAAAAAATATAAGTCTTTGTTTTACTATGGTTGCAAATATCAAAAAATTTCTATATGTGACAGCACCAGAGTTAAGTTAGGGTTTTTCAAAATGCTGACACGCCGAGCTCAAAAGGTTCGCCATCACTGGCCTAGCCTCCCTTAATTAGCTTTTTTTCTTTTTCTATGACTTTTCCTTCTAGATTCATTAGTAATTTAGTTATGCTCCGTAAATGAATAAAAATACGAAGCCAATTGAAATTCTGAAGGAAGTGCGGGAAGTCATACACTTAGGCATCTTCCTAATTAATTTTCCTCCCAGCAACAGGGACGGCTTCTCTACCTCCGCACGGTCTTTCTACCTGTTTTCCCACTTTTCTTCCTCTGCCATAAACCCCGGGACTGTCAAACCGAGTGCTCTCTCTCTGACAGGCTCTGCCCACTTTCTTCTCGTCTAGTTTTAAAAGCCAACAGCGCCCAGTTTGTGGCACCAGGGCCCACAGGTAAGTCTCCCGTAACACCTGTGCCGGCTCCCGTGCCAGCGTCACCCCGTGGGAAAGCATCACACCGCTTCCCAGGCCACAGGCGCGGGGCCAGCGCCGCCCTGGGCACCTGCGACACGACCGTCAGGCTCGGACGGACAGCGGGGCAGGTCGTGCCTCACGGGGACCAGCGGCCAGTCTGCTTTCACCCTCAGCCATCAGACATGCGCCGAATAGCCGGGTGCAGACAGCTAGTGAACCGGAACCCAGTTTGCGAATCCACGTCAGGAGGGACCGGCGTCCCCGGCGGTACCTGGGCCCCGGTGGCGATCTCGTCGGCGGCCTCGTTCATCACGCCCAGCGTCTGGAAGGCGAACACGCACAGCTCGCGCTCGCACACGGTGGGCTGCAAGGGAAGGGGGGGCGTCACCACCTGCCGGCCCACCGCCCGGTGCCAAAGGGACGGTGTCCCGTGTAGCACATGGAAAAGGGAAAGTCTCAGACGGCCGAAGAGAAAGGCATCACAGCCCGTTACTTCATGATGATGTCTGTACTGGAGTCACAGCTGGTAAGTGACCGTTGGCGGATCTAGTCACAGACAGGCTAGGAAATCCGTGTCGGCGAGGCATGGGCACCTGCACCGGGAACGCTTGAGCGATAGACAAAAACATCCTTCAATTGCCCTGGCCGGTGTGGCTCAGTGGATAGAGCCTCAGCCTGCAGACTGAAGGGTCCCGGGTTCGATTCTGGTCAAGGGCACAGGCCTGGGTTGTGGGCTCGATCCCCTGGGTGGGGCGTGCAGGAGGCAGCCGATCAATGGTTCTCTCTCATCACTGATGTTTCTCTCACCCTTACTCTCTGAAAATCAATAAAAATATATTAACTACACACACACACACACACACACACATATATATATCCTTCAATTGAAAAGCCCATCTCTCCTGCTTCATATGCACTCGCACTTGAGATGTATAAAAAGCACATCCCTAAACTGTACTAACAAGTACAGTGAAACCCCAAATACAAGTAAAAGGAATAAGAAAGGAGAAGGCCACCTTCTCCTAAGTCAGTGGTCGGCAAACTGCGGCTTGGCAAACCTCGGCTCACGAGCCACATGCAGCTCTTTGGCCCCTTGAGTGTGGCTCTTCCACAAGATACCGGCTCTTCCACAAAATACCGACTTCTGCGCATGGACCACGAAGTTTCAATCGCACTGTACGTGCGTGCCCACACGTGGTATTTTGTGGAAGAGCCACACTGAAGGGGCCAAAGAGCTGCATGTGGCTCGCGAGCCGCAGTTTGCCGACCACGGTCCTAAGTCATTTTCTTCGGAAGAAGCATGACTCCGCTCACATGCTCCCCAGCTCTTGAAAGATTGGTTTTGTCGCCAAGATTTTCGACTTCCATAACCTCCCGAAGTCACGGCCCTGAGACATACGCCGCGCCATTGCTCCGAAGAGCTCTCATCTCTCAGATCGAACGCAGTGTCGTCGTGTGATTTAATCTTTTCTCCGAGTCACGGCGCATTAGGCAGCCCATGAGGCCTAACGCGATGCCATCCCCGGGCCGCCACTCGCTCACTCGGCAGAAAAGGCATCCTTAGTGCCGCTGCCCCTCTGCCGGCTCATCTCAGAGGCCACTGGCCTCCGCTCCCGGTTGGGAAGGCCGGCCCCACTCGCAACATCCTTTCTGTTCGGAATGGGCTCCTGGGTGGCTTTGTGGACGTGGAGCGTAACCAGTCACAAAGGTTTCTGGCTGATGTTCCCCTAAGAGAATTTTTTTAAAAAACGATCTATTTCCTTTGTCAGTCTTAAATGTGCAGTTTGATTCCATTTCAGAAACATTGATTTTAGAGAGAAAAAGTATGGGAGGGGGTGGAGGAGAGAGGTAGAGAGAGAGAGAGACTGAGACTTTGTTGTTCCACCTATTTATACATTCACTGGCTGATTCTTGTATGTGCCCTGACCTGGGATCAAACCCACAAACCCTGGCGTATCAGGACGATGCTCTAACCAATGAGCAACCCAGCCAGGGCTTACTATTACCTATCTTAGTGTTCTGTTATTGCAGTGCCTTCAAGCAGTGAGGTCCTATGATCTAAACTGTAAACCTAGGGCCAGGGCCTCTCACCACTGTACATCATATTTGCAACGTAGTTCTTAATTCATCGCTAAAATCTTTCTCGCTAAAAAAGAAACCAGAAACACGGAACCCACAGGCCTTTGGTTCTCTGTCTTTCTGGCTGGAGCGTCCATGCTTTGGGCTCTTCTGTTCTGGAGGACAGACACATTGGGGAGGGAGAGGTCTATTGGACCTTGAGAGAGACAGGAATGCCACAGGGACAAGGACCCCTCCACAGTAAGACAGGACCAGGCATGGGACCCCTCGGCACCCGGCACCCTGCTGTCTCCGACAACTAGCTACTGAGCAGAGCTGAATTTCTACTCCATTTGGATGTAAAAAAAAATCACATTTTTGAACTATTCTTGGTATGATTTTTACTTAAGTTCAGCCTGTATTTCAGACCTTGAAGCACGTGGGGAAACAGGGAAGGTATAGAATGTGCTTTTTCATCCATTTTTCAAATATTGAAGTCAGGCCTCACACAGGAGACCTGGCTATTCTCTCGGGAGGTGAAAGGGGACACACCCAGGTCTATCCATGGGCTCGTTTCTTAAGAATTTTCATGGGACGCCTTAAAGTAGGACCACATTGTCGCCGGGTTAATTTCACCCTGAAGATAAGAGCTTCAGGGATGAACTTGGTCTGAGGTCCACACTAAGGTTGGATACACAAGACTATAGCGTCTCAGGCTCCTCAGCTGACTCGGCCTTAGCAGGACGGGGCCTGCTTCTCACGCAGAGAGAACGGACTCCCAGCGCGGACCGGTCCCCCCAGGGCAGGGGATCGGCCCCGGGCACGCGGCTGGAGCTGTGAATGAGGTCAGTGCTCCCATCAGGTGCTCCTGTGGGGAATGGGAAGGACTCCGAACCAGGGACACACGGATGCAGCCATGTGTCCACGGCAGGCTTCCCACTTTGCAGGACCACGACCCACACAGCCACGCGGTTTCCTCCAGGAGCTCAGCAGCTCGCGTGCAGGGAGCCGAGAAGAGCCACCGCACTGACCCCGGGCTGGCGTGTGCAAGGCGCGTGCGACAGAGAGAAGGGCACGCGGAGTTCAGAGGATAACACGGTGGCCGGCTCGGTCAGGGAAGCTGTCCTGCTTTGCAAAAACACGAGCCGTGTAGCTCGACATCTGAAAGCATCTTTAAGGCAGTTGCCGTGTTAACACTCCAGTTGGTCCCCAAACGTCCAGAACCAATGATCTGGTCTGGGTTTGGTTTTCTGATCAGGATCCAAACTTCGATGCCAAATTGGACAGTCGGGCATCTCTGGACAATGTTCCTGGTGTTAATGTGGGTGCAGAGCAGATGTGCTAATGGGAGAGTGCAAGCCCGGGAGTGGCATGTATGAACTTCGCAAACAGAGAGAAAACTGGGGCGTTCAGGTATTTCTAAGGAGGAAGTCTAGCTCCCCGTGTAGTAGCAACTGTGACCTGCTTGCCCAGACCGGAGGAAAGGGGCAGAACAGCACACGCAGATTACACTCCAGGAATTTTTGAGAGACTTTTGTCATAAAATAAAAACAGGTTTGGAGAAAAAAGAAAATATGTAAGCAACAGGGTAAATTCAGAAATAGAAATAGCTAACACATGTGACATTAGATCTATGAAAACCCAAGAATTTTATCTAATTTGTTGAATCTCCGATTGGGTTAGAACTTGTTCTTGTATCTCTGGGATTTATTAGTCTGTAACATGTCGTATGGATTGAATGTGTGGTCAATGAGTCAGTTTATTAACACTCCATAAGAAACTATATTTCTAATAATTTTCACACATTTCTATTAAAATTCTAGTGAAACTACTGCAATCAATGTAAGAAAGAGAGAAAAAATGAGTGACCCTGAGTTAGGTGAAATTTCTAACAGAATCCAAGGGCAGAATTTTCCTCTTATGTTCTCTTCTTTTGAAAATGAAATGTTTGGGGGTTTTTTGTTTTTGTTTTTTTTAATATATAGTTTTTCATTTCAGAGAGGCAGGGAAAGGGAGAGAGAGAGATAGAAACATCAATGGTGAAAGAGAATCACTGATCGGCTGCCGCCTGTACGCCCCAAACTAGGGATCGAGCCTGCAACTCAGGCATGTGTCCTGACCAGGAATCGAACCGTGACCTCCTGGTTCCTAGGTCGATGCTCAACCACTGAGCCACACCAGGCGGGCATGAAAATGAGATTTTTTTTTAAATTTTTCATTTCATGATCTGATTTCATAGGTCACTTACCTTACTATTTAAGAAACCAAAGTAATTTTTCTGATTTCCTTAGATACCAGTCTGAACTACAGCAACATAAAACCAAGTGATAGCTAGCTATGCTGGTGAAGATGTGGAGAAACTGGAACCATCATACTCTGTCGGTAGGAATATGAAATGGTCAAAAACATTTGGTAGTTCCTCAAAAAGTTAAACTGAGTTAACATATGTCCCAATAATTCCAGTAACCGATGATAGATAAGCAAATGTCGAACATCCATACACTGCATTATCCCGCCACAGAAGGAATAAAGTACAGATACATGTCACGTGGTTGGACCTTGAAAACATTACACTGAGTTAGAGAACCCCAAACAAAGGCCACAGAACACAAGGTTCCATTGACATGAAAAGCCCAGAACAGGCCAATTCTCAGAGAGAAAATAGACAAGTGGTCGGCAGGGGGTGAGGGGAGGGGAAATGGGGAGTGACCACTAAGCTACAGGGTTCTTTTATGGGTGGTGGGAATGTTCTGGAATGAGAGAGCGGTAATGGTTGTACAACAGTGTGACCATACTAAGCACCACTGAACTGTACACATTAACATAGTGAATTACATGTTATGCATTTCTTACCAAATTTAACCTCAATAAAAGAATTATAAACAAAGCTTGAAACTGGATAATTCTCCCCCAAATGCACATGGCTTCTTATTTCTATACCCCCTCTATCACCCCCTGAATGTGTCCGTGAGTTGCATCTTTTGAAATTTTACTGATTTTCTGCAAGCTCCTATACACCTCTTCTAACTGCAATACAGACCACCCTCTCCTCCCTATAGTGAGTATCTTAAATTGTGTGGCTTTGAAGAAATGCTGTTTACAAGTTCTGTCTCCCTGTTCACCCACATGTGCCTGACAGGTGACCTATGAGACACACACAGATAAACAAGAGAGACCACAGGCACATGCAGGAAATACAGGCACGTGAACGAAATATGTTCCTGACATGACATGACTCGCTCTGACATGGATTCCTTCAGACACAGTGACTCCTTCAGACATAGTGACTCCGTGGTCAAAATTATACCCCTTTACCTACGAAATAATCTACTCAACAAAGAGTATTTACTGTCAGTGCAGCTTTTCACGATTCCGTCTTCTGCCTTCCCCCCTTCCTGACATTCCCACTCCCCCCTGACCGCCCCCACGGACACTGACCCTGAGCATCGGGCCGTTCAGGAACACGTGCCGCTCGTCGCACACCACGCAGTGCTCATTCAGCACGGGGATCCGCTGCTCCGCGAACTCGATGGTCTGCGGGGAGCCACAGGGAGGGAATGAGGTGGGGCTGACAGGGACGTGACGCCCCCACCTCCCTCCCCCCACAGCCAAAGCCGCTCTCCAGCGGGTGGGTGCTGGGCTCCTACCTGCACGAGGAAGCCGCGGTCTCGGATGGGAACGCATTTGGCACCATTTGGCTGTAAAAGGCAAAGCAGAAGAACAAAACAATTCTTTAGAATGGGGAAATGGGCAGATTACGGCCTTTTGCTTTGCGCAGCCGTGAACGGAAGCAGACGTGCCCTTCCTAAGATCACCTGTAGCAGGAGCCGAGTCGCTGATCCGACATGGAGGGGGCGGAGTCCCTGTGCAACAGGACACTTTCTGCCATGAACCTTTGTCTGAACTAAGTGAACATGCCGCCTTCCTGATCTTCGTAGTAAAATGACTGGCGTCTTCACATCATCACAAA